TGAAGAGCACAAATATTTCTTCATCTCCGCAAAAGGGATCTCCGCCAGGAAGAGACAATCAACAGTGAGAAATAGTTTTTTAACGCAAGCACCTGAAGCACTTGCTGTCTAAAGCTACTTAAACTATTTTCTGATCACCATTTCAATATTAATAATGATAATCATCATCATCATTATCTTTATTCAATCAATAAAATACATATCGAAAGTTGCAAACGTCATAAAAATGAAAGTTAAATTAAAAAATCACAATTAAAGTAGAACCGTATTGCTAAGTTATAATTAAAGCATAGCTTAGTTACAAAACAGTTCCTATAGCACTCAATGTTAACTAAAGGTAGCTGAAATTTCATTCGTGATAATTACCAGAAATATCCGTACTTCTGTTTGCGAAGACAACGATTGCTTTCGTTGTGGTGGAGAAGAGCCCGCGTTTTTTTCGCGGACGAAGGAGTTCATGAGTCGGACTTGGTGCGCAAGACAGCCGTGGCGGGGAATTACGCGTTATTTTTTCTCACCCTGCGTTGCTCGCATGAAAAGCGCGAACAGAAACAACGCCTCTCCTTCAGGCTAGATGCAGAAATATAAAGCAGAAATACAGCCTTTGGGTTCGAGTATACGCAGAGCAAGCCAAAAAAAATATTTAACTAATAGGCCTAAGATCTTGGATTTTGCTCCAAACTGGAGTTTAGACATGGGTTAAATCAAGATACTTATGAGGTATTCTTTTTACTTTGCACGCTCAAAGCCAACGAACTCAGCAAATGCCAAGAAGCAGTGTCAATAAAGATGACTGGGTTGGGAGATGGCTTCTAGAGGAACCAACGCGAGTTACTCCTATCAATGCTGCGAATATACCGTACAAAGCCAAGAATAAGAACAAAGAAAAAGAAATTCCAGACAGAAGGATCAGCATGCATGAAAGAACAAACAACAAGAAGAGGTAACGAAAAGATATTTGCCGATGGGTGGAGTGTAGAGAAGAGAAGCGGGACGTCATTAAATTATAGGATTGGATGGCATAGTCTGGAGGAAAAAGATGAAAAAAGTCCCCTTGCCAAAAATCAGCCTTTTAGTGCATCTTGGTGGGGAGATATTTGCACCTTTATGCTCTGAGAAGTTTGGGTAGAAGTGTGCCGCCGAGAGCTTCAAACCGGCTGACCCTTTATGAGACAAAAATTCAACGTAAAGGCTTCGCGTCCAAAAAGGCTCCCTGTTCAAGAAGCTAAAAGGTCATTCTATACACCTTCTTTAAGACTCAAGATCCTGAAAGGCATACCCTGTTTAGCCTGTGTACAGACCCCCCCCCCCCCCTCCCTTCAGGAAAAATCGTAGGAGGGGTCTGTACACAGGCTAGACCCAGTTCAGCGGCACATATCCATCCACAGGGGGGAATGCTACACGAACTGGGTGCCCCTTACCTGTTCTTACCCTTCTCTTATTTCGCTACCATCACGTTACCATTTCGCTACTTTTCAATTTTGCAGCCAGTCACTTCCTCGAAGCAAAAGTTTTGGAGGTCCCGAGTCTTACGGCGTTACTGTGACCGCGACTGCTGTGAAACGGAACGAGGGTAGCAGTACGTTACCACCATCAAAGTCACCTCAGCGGTATAACTCATCAAATCTAATTCAGGAAAAACCAGTTCGTGCAAGCAATGCTGATGACGTGGCCTCGCGGCCAGTAGAAATGTCATGGAACTCACAGGTGTATGCCGCACCAGGTGACACAGTAGAGGTGCGCTTGCCGAGGGACGTGATGGGACCAAAAATGACTACCAGCGAGAGCACCTCGAGCCTCGATTCAGTGGGAACAATGGATTCATCAGTGAGCGGTTCCCGCAGGCAGGGACCTGCCCCACCCCCCAGGCGAAGCGTGTCCAAACTTCTCAGCTCGTTTCGGACACAAGGCCGACGGGAGGTTCCTGAGCAAGTGCAGATTCCACCCAAATTTGGTGCAGTTTCAAGAGTATCAGAAGTCGCAGCTAATCAGCCGATTCACAGTGCGTCAAGATCATGGCCAACAGAACACGTGGTGGAAAGCAAGGCAAGCGGAAGTGACGTGAGACAGTCGTGGCACGCCGAGCCCGCTATCAGTAGAAGAGAAGCGAATTCTTCAACAGCTAGCGATGGGCCTCCCGAGAGAAAACTTTCTAAGACCTCTAGCATGCGATATAAGTCTACCGTTGTGATTACAAATATGCGCTCTTCGTCCTCCTCGTCAGTAGATGAGAACAGTGGTCCAACACTATACCGATCTGGGCAAACCTCACCAGAAGCCGATAAGACACAGTCGGATGCCCTTCAGCTGAAGAAAAATGTAAGCGAGGCAGACTCGGCTCCTGTTAGAGCGTTTGGTGATGCGGGCGGATGGATGTCACGTAAGCCAGATTCTGAAGCAGAAAAGAGTCGGATTGAAGATACGCAGATCTTGCAAAGGCTTCTTAAGGATAAAGCTAACAATGTTGATCGGTCGCTGAGTGTGAAATCAAGAGTTGCGAACTTCGAAGGAGGATTGAGTCGAAGGATATCTGCCGGCGTGCCTCATCGCGAGTTAATGCGTGCACCACAGCGTTCATCCAGTCAAGGAAAAATTGAAGTTATCCCGAAGCCACTGAAATCAACCCCAGTCAACCAGTAAGTGATTTTCACTTTTAGAGGATTTTTTAAATAGGCTATGTCACGCTAAAAGCTAAAACGTGTCTTCGAATCAATTGATAATGGCATAGAAACTGTTTTCTGTCGTCTGTTGCAAAGGATGGCAGGGATGGTCGTGGAATGAAACTTGAAAAAGTTGGGCCATCCTTTTCAAGTTTCAATGCTGTGCCTGCAAAACACGCCACAAAATTATAATTGTTCATGTTCTTTGTGGGTAAAGATACTAAGTATTGATTTCATCACATAATTGACCCAAAACAGTATTGTATTTTTAAGTAAGCGCCTTAATCAAACCAGAATTAAGTAGTCAAATTAACCAGCAGCAACTCGAAGCAAATAATGCCCGAGAAAAAAGAACTGGTTCTGCTGTAGTTTTGATGGAGATATTAGCACGAGGTTGTTTATCAGCCAATCACAACGTGTAGTAATGCAGAACACAGACGAGAATTATTTTACATTGGTTTATGGACCAATCACCACAAAAGTATAAAATTCCCGCGCTTGACACCGGCTTGCACCGGCTGCAATGTATTTGCCTGGAAATTTGATTGGTTTGTTAGATTTTCTCTGCCTGTTCTGATTGGCCAGAATTATTGCTTTAGTTTCGGTTTTACGAAGTCGATTGAAAACTGTTCTGTAATTTCTTTAACGCTGGTTAAAGTTTACTGTTGTTGCAGACACGTGTTAAACACGAGACCGGTTCCCTGGAACATAGCCTTGCGACATTGACCCGTTTACAACATTTCAATATCATGACAATATCACCTGCTTTAATTAGTCATTATTTCCTAGAAACTGCTGTGTCACAATGCAAAAGAAAGATTTGTAAACATAGCCAATACCGGAGTTTTTTTCCCAGTGGGTCGTACTTTAATTAGCAGCGGATGTTTTGAAGTTATCATTGACTACAACGGATCCCTGTAAGGTTCAAGTTGTAATTGGAAGAGCTTAAAAATACCGTTAAGCAGCAATTGTAAGTCCAAACGTAATTCAAACAGTGATTTTGAAATGGTGCTATTTATAATTAAGCGTTGTTGCTGAAGAAACGTGTAGTATAACCGTTTATGAACTTGACTTAAGAGCTCTCGCTCTTAAACGGAGGAGTTAACTTCCGTGGAATGGTAGTCATTTTCAACCACAAGATGTCGGTAACGTTTTTTAAAAAGCCAAAACGTGTCTTCGTATCAACTTAATTCTAAACATAATGGGCTGGTTTTGTTATTGAAGACTGTATTTAGGCATTGAAAATATTTCCTCACTTATCGTCTGTTGGTACGGATGGCAATGATAAACATGGGTTGAAACTTCAAAAAAAAAATGTGCCAACTTTTTCAAGTTTTAATGCTAAGCCTGAAGTCACCAAAGGGTATTATGGTTAGTGCTGCCGGATAGGATTTATTTAATATTCTTTTCATAACTTTACCGGATCATTTTGTGTGCCGTTGATGAAGACACTAATTAATGACTGAAACACAAAAATTGTTAACCTAAAACAGCAATATCCACGTGACAAAGCCCCTTTGAAGCACTTAAAGCACCTGTGATCCCACGATGATTTTTTTAATGTGGTATTTGTGGTTTGTGCTTTAAAGTTGAAAGGATTTTATGCCACTTTCGAAGTCATGCAAAGAATCTTCTGTTATATTGATAAAGGGATCAAACGGCAAATTGTCGTTGCCCGAAATATCTATAGGTCGTAGTGATTCGCGGTGATTCGTGTATTATGAGGAGTTTTTAAAACTGATAATGGACGACTGCGAGTTTTTTGAGTGGCTTCAAAATCTCTGATATAGATCAACTCATTCTTGCACTGATATTTAGATTTGGTGTTATTTTGGTCTAAAGAATTGAACGTGAAGTTAAGCCGTGTCTTTATCAGATATAAAGACAGTCATTAAACGTTAATTTCTTTTGTTATTTCTTTATGAATTATTAATGAGTTTTTGAAGAGGACCTATCCATTTCACTGCCAGATTGAATAAAGGAGTCTGGTCAAAGGATTCTTTTGTAATTTTTGAGTCTGTGGACCAAATCTTATGGTTTCTTATGTCAAAAAAAAATTTTTTAGTCTTAATTTCCTTTGTCTCCTAGTCTTGATATTTTTTAATAATAAGGGGACCAAATTTACGACCAGAATACTTTTTCCTTTCATATTTACATTTGGAAATCCCAGTGAGGTTTAAATAACAAAAGTCCTAATTTGTAGAAGAAAGCAAAACCCCGAAGGATTCTCGTCGTAGTAGTAAAATGACGTCATCGTGCAAATGGTCTATTGAGAATCAAATTTATTGGATCGAAAGAAAGCATTTACATAAGAAAAGAGTTCAAAAATTTTTAACCTGCCGCCGATTCATTGTTTTGGGACCGTGACGTCATATAAAAACAACCATTCAAATGAAACCTGAACGTGTTTTTTTTGCATAACCATATTCAAAAAACCTCTTTGGTTTTTACTATTTGTTTTTTTTCAGAATTGTAGGAAAAGGAAATTTGGACGTTTTGTGAATTTTGACTTTGGCCTCTCAAGGGTCTTTACGAGGATCATACGGGGTTCACTGCTTGCGTACAGTAATTGCATGAATACGTATCGGACGTTGTTTTTTTTTTTTCTTTTGTTTGTGGCAATGGTCATGAAATACAGATCAAGCTACAGCTTACTACTGCTCTTAATAACTGCGGAATTTTTATTTTCACAGATCTTCATCTATGGATTCTCTCCTTGAGACACACTCTCCAGCGCGATTTAACGAGCCGTCAACACAGAAGAGATACTCGGCGTTAGACAGTTCTGCAAAAACTTTCGATTCGTCAGCTCAGAAGCAAGATTTCGTTCCAGAAAATCGCCCGTCAACAAAATATAGCGCCATGTCAACGGACAGTCGCGAGTCCTTAGAGGATAGTCGTCCGAGATTACCGCCTCCCAATGACAAAACACCACCGAAACATTGGGAAACAAACGATGACTTCTTTCGAAGCAGATCGAACGAGCAATTCAAGCCACCATCAAGGAGTACACCGAGTGTTGCAACAGACAGTGCAGGAACGAGAGAACTTATGGTTGAAAATCTGTCTTCCACTACACGTGTTGAAAAACAGCACGTTCCAGCGGAGCCTGTGAGGAAAATCCGAGTCTATGTTCCAGCCGAACAAAAGGTTAACCCAGACATGGAAAGATTTCCCTCTAGAAATGAAAAGTCGTCAGTATCAAATCCCCACTCTGACTTTGAGCGAAAGCCAGTGGAGCCAGAATTACCACCACCTTCCACTAATGACGACAGCAATGTCTTCTGGGATCCTGACGATTCTCTCCCGCCCCCACCTCCCTTAAATCTTCTTGACCCGCTGGAGACCTCTCAAGATAGCTTACCCCTCCCCTCACCTCCTCGGGAAGTGCTGGTTGAATTTCCAGATCCTTACAGCGACTTCAGTTCAAGAAATTCTTCACAAAGAGAGCACTCGATTGTAGGTAGCGATATTGTCCCACGGGAGGAAGTTGACGGGGTCCCATCCCCTTTTGAAAGGGGCCAAAAATCCAAAGTTGAACTAAACGGGTCAGGTAAATTCGACACGAGTGATATCTCCGAACAAGCCTTGGAGACGACTACAAGTACGGATTTGTCATTCGCCGACACCTCCCCTTCAGAAAACAAAACGAGTACCCACAGGGCACCTCCGCCAGCTCCGCTCGTAATAACCTCGACACCTACCAGAGATGACCTGGAAGAGGCGGATAACCCTCTTGATTCGAGCCCCTACAGTTTAGGCTCCAGCACGTCCACTCCATCTGGAAGTCGTCCTAACAGCATGCTGAGTCCCAAACTTGAGGCTTTGGATAAGGAAAAGGTAAGTTAAATTTCTATGAACTAGTAAGCAATACTGCATTACAGTTCAAGAACGTAATGTATTGGGCGCTTTCCACTCGTCAAAAATTCTGGTTTGAAATTTCGGAAATTCCACACGCCCAGTGGAACAGTACATTCCGGTTTCACCGGACCGACCCAGGCCACCGCACGTTTGGTTATTGTTCTTGCAAGCAGGATACAAAAAAGCGGTACTGGAGACAACAATTTTGTCAAATGGAAAGGGATGTTTCGATCCGACCGACCGACCGAAATGAGTGCACCACCTTCAAATAAAAGGTGATCCCAAATATTCAGATCGGACTGAACCGAAATGATCCCAGGGTTCTACCTAGGATTTATCGTTTGGGAGAGAAGTCCCGAGTGGCCACGAGTTTCCTGGCGGGATCCGGGGGCATTTCTCCCCGGAATGTTTTGAAATGGATATGCGCTGAGATGCAATCTGGTGCATTTTGAAACACAATTTTGAGAAATGTTACAGCGGTATTTTATTTTATTTTTTAGACATGATCATGTTCCTTGTCATATAGTGTCCTTAGACAGGGAATACTTACTTCATGTGCACTGACCTCGTCGCGTCTGGATGATTTTTTCCAATATAGTTACTTATATACTGTAATGAGAACCGTTTATTTGGGGGGCGGGAAGCTGGGCATTTTGGGGGGGGAAGCTTCTACCCCTAAAATACCGTAGCCCAAACTTAGGTAGAACTCTGGGTCCGTTCCATTTGATTTCTAACCGAAATTTCCGGAATTTTGGGCTGAATGGAAAGCATCCGTTGTCTATTAATAGACCTTACTCCACGATACGCGCCATCTCTGCACACGCTTTACGACCGATGGGGAAAAAGCATGTCACGTGGTTTCTCAGGTAGTATGAAACAGATGATAGAAGCTGACAATCGCCTTTGACTTTGTTGATTCCCCTAAAATTGTCCAGTTTCGAATTAAAAATTACCGCTGACTACAAACATCAACGACACATTCATACAGGGTTACCCCCGACGTAGAGTAAAATATTAAAAGTTCCGGCAAGTATGTTTGAAATTTGTGAATACACAATAGACAGAGTAATACACAGGTCTTATTCTTGTTGGAATTTGTGAATATGTTTACTTCAGATGGAAGCTAAGCCTGTAAAAAATGCGTCTTCTCTTCTCTTATTCAGCGGTCATAGCGAAATCGAAACTGGACAAAAAGACAGTGATTGATTAGAGCCGAAACTAATTGTGGAATTACACATATTTTAGACACCCTAATGATGGACAATTACGACATGTAGCAACACCAATTTGTCACCTCTCCTCTTTGAATGGAATATCTGTAAGTTGCAAGCTCAAAGTTTATGTTAAATATTTTTGTTTATCCTCAGAGTGTCCTCATAGATAGCATGAAACAAAAGATAGTAGATCTTAGATCACAAATGGACGAAATTAAAGACGAAATCAATGGCAACGAGGAGCTTGGCGAAAAAGTGACCAAGGTTGTGGAAAAAAAGGCGAGTCCGGCGGAATTCTCAAAGTACCAATTGTTTACCGGCGAGCTGAATAAGATTATTGGACTGTTGTTGATTCTGACGCAGAGAATGCACAGATATGAAATGATGCTGAATGATTTGGACATGTCCGAAGAAGCAGATAGGCAACAAAAGGTGAGAAGTCTTGAGCCTTTTTTTATCTCAAGAGTCAGTAGACGTTTTTCATTTCATTAACCGTCAAACCTCTAGAGGCTGTGTCACGCTATTTGTTAGAGCGATTTTCGTATGATCTGGAAAAATGGTTTCGGTAAGTGTTCGTTATTTGTTTTATCAGCCAATTGATGTAAAGATCAAAACATGGACTTTTCGTTTTCCCGCCAAAGAAAACCCTAATATCATTGGAGAAGGCATTGTTCGATTGGCCAATCGTGTTGCAGTATGACGTCAAAGTGAAGTATCGACCAATCAAATCGCTCTATTTCCGTTCGTTTGTTGTTTCTGTTTTGTTCCTGCGTTATCATTTCAAGGTCATACGAAAATCGCTCTATCTTGTTGAAAGGCTACTAAAACGTGTTTTCGCATCAATTGAATTGCAAATATAAGGACTGTCTTTAGGCATTGAAACTGTTTTCTGTCGTGTGTTGCTACGGATGGCGTGGATAGACATGGATTGAAACTTGAAGGAACTGGGCCAATTTTTTCGCGTTTTAATGCTATTCCTGCAAAAATCACCAAAAATATCATTGTGGCTAGTACGTCGTGATAACATCTGTTGGATATCTTCTTCGTACCGGAGCATTTTATGTTAATTTAAGTAATCGTTATTGTTGTGTTGCTGTTATTTTCAGGATATTTTGCTGAGCAAAATAGACAAGGTTACTTTACAACACGAGGAAGCTTGCAAAATCAAGGAAGTGAACGATAAACGCGGAGAAGTCGTGTCCAAGATTTTGGAAAGTTGTCTTGAGGAGGAGGAATTCGCCGATTTTCAGTACTATATAGACATGAAAACACAGCTTGCTTTGATGCACGCAGAAATTCGCGATAAAGTTAAAATGGGAGAAGAAAGACTGAACACTTTAACTTCAACAAAGATTGACTGGAGCATATTTAGCTTGACTTGAGTGGTTTTGGGTCTTTCATCGGTTAAAGACGTATTGTCGAAGATGTACCGAAGATGCTAAAAGTGTTGCTCTAAAGGCCACCGAAGGTTACCGAACAGTTACGATGAGCGACCCACGGAACTTGCAAAGTAACAAATATTTTGATTAATTTAGAATATTCCACTTTTTAAGAAGAAAACTGTTGGCAAACGCTGTCGTTTCTTGGCTGTTTTTGTAGAATTATTTTGGTATAGAGAGAAATTTTTTCTAGTGGTGATTGATTGCATCGAGATTTACCACAGGGACGGCGGGGCGCAGCACAACGATCGGCAGAAGTCGAAAAGTTTTAGCTAGTTTTCGAACTAAATTAACCAGTTATTTCATGCACGGACACGCTTCCGAAAGTTGTCAGAGATATTCAATCGCTTGGTGCCTTGTAACGAAAAGCGCCGGCTCGAGCAGAGGTCAGATGAATTTATTTTATCGATTATTATGAGAGAGCCAATAATCTTCACAGCTTGTAAATGTGGAAATATTTTTAGCTGGTAGGTAGCTTCTTGTTCAAGCTATAAAATTGTGTACAGAAAATTCGTTCAAAGTGATGTGAAGGTTGGTCATAAAGGCCTTCAATGCAGTATAGAAATTTTCCGGAAGAAATTTACGGCTCTTAATTGCATAGAGCAGGTAATAATTCCTTATTTATAGCCAAAAAAATTGAATTTATACCAACATAACGTTTTTCCTTTGATTTTCATATAAATAAGACACAGTGAAATCTTTTGTGGCAGTGAATAACACACTTGCTAATCGCATAAGTTAGGCACAGTTTGAAACAAAACGTCCTTTTTCGAAAGAAGCGCGCATCCGCGGGAAATAAGATCTGGGATGCTCCTTGGTCGGTCCTGGCACGTGCTGTTTTGATTGGTCCGTGCTCGTAACACGGGCTTTTGGACCAATCAACAAACGAGTGGATCCTGAATGTGGTTGCCTAAACGACTAGAAAAACCTATTTTTTTCAGGGGAAAAGTCTGTCTTGAATAAGAGATTTTAAAAGGGGCTCTTTCACGATACTGTGGGTGGTCACGGCTTTACAACGTAGAGAGTTGTCTCGATAATTACAAGGAAATTCTAATTATAAGTTGGATAAAACAGTAAAACGCTTCAATGGTTGTAGTATACTCTATAAAGAATGGACGAGATTAACGTGAGCGATGGCAAACGGAAAACTGAAATATTCACGCTACATTTTTTAAGACAAAGAATCGTGACACAGCTTCTTAAGCCCCAACAATAATCATACTTGTAATTTGAAAATTATACGAAATTGTACTTGAAGCCATAAATTTTTCATCTTTTCGACATGTTATGTGAGGGAAGTATTTGGTTCTTCGAGATGACGAACCTTTTTTACCTAAAACGAGATAAACGTTCGTGTTTGCTATTTATCAATTATTCTTTTATAAGTTACCAGAATTTCTTCTTAAATTATTGATACAAAAGTAACTATGAAAGAAACGTTCTTTTATACTTCAGGGCCCAGTTGTTCGAAGGCCGATTAGCGCTAACCCAGGGTTTTCTTTTCATCAAAAGCATTTTCTCGGACGATTTTCTCTATTCTTTTTAGAGTAGCCAATCATCAAATTGTTGACAAAAAGAATTAAACTGAATTTGCTTTTTAAGCTTTCCATATCTGAATTCAAATTTCGAACTAACCCTGGGTTATCGTAACCCACCTTTGAACAACTCGGCCCAGTAGATTAGTCAACAAAGTATTGCGTGACTTTGTATAGGACTTATAGACGGAGTATTGCGTGACGATCTGAAAAGTTCGTTTGCGTCACGGAAATGACGTTTTTGTGCAGTTGCATGGGTAGATTTACATCAACAACTTGCTTGATAAGGATTGTGTGTAAGGGCAGAATTTCTGAAAGTATTTTCAATAAATGTCTTGGAGGATAATGGTAGCGATGATCCTTCGTTTGTCAATTTCCTTTTGTCAATTGATTTTTAGCTACCACTATTGGAATATTTCATTTATCGATTTAATCCGCTAAGTTATAAATACGCTTGTACAATCTGCTCCAAGCTTTCGTGATAATGTCTACACTAAGGATCTTATCCATCGAACTCATAAGTTTGCATTACATTGCACGACCCGAAAGTGTGAGAAGTTGTTCGGTGTAAATCGTGTTCTTGAAAGGCACGCAATACTTTTTTTCTTTAGCGGGGGATAATAAACAGCACTGTGCTGGGCTCAGTTCCAACCGTTCTTTTCCTTGGTTAGAAAGTCTCGAGGCTTAGAGAGAATCTAATTGAAAAACTTTACAAGTGGGGTTAACAAGGAAATTCGATAATTTTGTTGGTATATTTAGCAGTACGTTTTTAACAGACATGAACAAGTTGTGGTATATAAGCAAGTATAACTTTATCTTTTCGTTTGTCAAGGTAAAAAAGAGAGATAAAAGATTAAATTGGTAGCTTATAAGGTGGATGTTTTCTTCCTTGGTTTATATCTGACCTTCCTCTCTGCACCTTCATAAGCTTTACTGATACCAGGGGAACTTAATACTTAAAAGAATGGACCAAATGCATCGTGCCATTCCATTTGGGAAGCTTCAAAACATATGGGCTGTGATCTGAGGCGATGCAATTGGTCTGTTCACTGCCTCGTACTCCAGCGCTTTTTTGGTCCGCATGACCACTTGCGCCGCGACTACCGCAGATAATCCCAAGAAGAGCCTGGTTACGCGGCAGGTCTGTTATCGTATCACGTCAACCACCTAAAATTCTCTGAGGAATTCAATGAACCCAAGCCTTCACTTCATTTTTCTGCAAGTCTTTATCAAAGTGAACCAACTGATCATTGTAGCGGCTACCAAAGTACCAACCTTTTGCCCAGGTAGGTACATGTAGGTACTTTATTAAATACATTGCAAGGGAGGTGCGTAAAGTCCTTTTAGAAGTGAGTAAGGGTTATTTACCCGTGGAACGCGGGGGTATATGATATATTCACCCGAAGCCTGAAAAGGTACCCCTTTTGGGCGGGGCTATTATAGGGATTATCCCTCGGGATTTTAACACCATATTTGTTGGCGTTTACAAATAATACGATTTTTGTGGCCGAACGGGCAATGTAGTAGAGAGGCTAATTTTTTTAAAGCAACGACGTTTTGAGCTATGCACGTGAACCGGATGTGACACCTTTTCCTTCCCTTGAAGCTACCAAATTTTTATTTGTCTTTTCTCCTGAAGAGACGATTTGCCCAAAAACATGGGCAAAATCACAAAGACACTTGTCTACACAAAGAAGAATCATGAGTGTCTTAACCTTGTACCTAAAGCCAGACTTGACAAAAAGCACTAGCCTGGTGTGTGGCGTAAGTAGACTGCTTGCAACTGACGACTGCGTTTTATGACTTCATAAATTTGGGAAATCATGCCCATTCTAGCCTGCGAACCGCAGAGGTATTTCCTGGTCGTCGCTATACGTCTGTGGTTCGCAGCCTATGCCCATTCTCTCGAATAAGAAGTTTGTAAAAAAATTCACTAACACATTTCGAATTATTTTGGGGAAGAAAAAACTACGATCGTTTCAAAACGACACAGGAATACAAGCAGAATACAGCACACGGTAACTTTATTCGTGTTTCTCTTCTCCACAGTGAGCTAAGATTAAGGCGATTTTCCCGGTCGAATTTTTCGCTGCCCATCAATGACACCCATTAGGTCCATAAATCGCTTCTCCACGCAATATCCATCATCACTGGATGTACTGTATTTTATTTTTACCAAGTGCGTAAGCGCTCATCCCGGGGGCTAATAATGTAACAATGTTTTGGTACCACGCCAGTTGTTTGCGGTTACGTAACTTAGTTTGCGTAACTTGTTTAGCATGATCATTTTTCTATTTTGTGACAATTACCTTGCCAAAATTACGAATTCAGTGTTGTAGTAAGCGATATTCTCGGTCGAATATTTCGCTCCCCATCAATGACATCCATAAATCGCTTCTTTACGCAATATCCAGTATCACTGGTTGTACTGTATTATATTTTAACCAAGTGCGTAAGCGCTCATCCCGGGGGCTAAATATGATGTAACAGTGTTTTGGTACCACGCCAGTTGTTTGCGGTTACGTAACTTAGTTTGCGTAACTTGTTTAGCATGATCATTTTTCTATTTTTTGACAATTACCTTGCCAAAATTACGAATTCAGTGTTGTAGTAAGCATGGTCTTTCTATCGTCTTTCTACGACTTTTTTTTCAGGGGGCTTTCTTCCGCAAATATTTTGGGGGCCTGGGCTACAGCATCGTTCACGCCCCCTTTTCGCCCCTTTTGAAACCCGCCGGCAAGACTCCGTTCGACGCACGCCTGCATGCTGAGCTGACACGGTTGCTGGTTTCATAGAGAAAGATCACAAGGACATTTCCTTCTACGGTTTGATTGTGATATTTCGTTGCTTTGAAGGGCGAGAGAGACCTAACTTTTATTCATCACCATGAGCTGTCCTTATGATCGAAGCATGTAAGTGTTTTAGTGTGTTAGAATTTATAATGCTCTCTTATATAAACTATCAAGATTTACCAAGATTGCATGCAGACTGCGAACAACATTATCAAAATCCGAAATAGGATTAAAAGTAGTAGATTATAGCTGATTGTTTTTGTTCTTTTGCCCTTTCTTTGCATATTGACAATGACCTGTAGTCGATTTGACCCTTCACTCGCAGGCTGCGTTTTTATAATATCAAATTGAACTGTTGGAATTATGTTGTTTACCTCGCAGCGATGACGAAACGAGCGCCCCGTTCGCAAAAGATGGCGATGATGGCCGATTATGCTATGGCGATTATCTTCAGGTTTGAGCTTCTACCAGTAGTTTTTACGAAGTAAAACAATCTTTTGATCTGCTGGGACATTTATAACCGTAATTTCTGTAGTTTTCTTCAGTTTTTTGTTAATCCCATGTCTCTGTTAGGTTATTTAATATTAACTTATGCAAACTTGAACGCCACAACCCAGTTCAAGGTGTTTGATATTTGTAAATTGTTTGTTCGTATTTGCGATTCCTTTTCACTGGAAATGGAAAATAAATGTGCGCTGATTCATAATGTTTTAACACCTGCCGATTAACCCGTTAATACGGCCGTGCAGCGGAGTGATCGTATATCCTGTTTGGAGCATATTTCTTTGGTACGTTCTTTTCGCTTAATATTGAAGGGGTACTATCGCACCGCTGAATTTGCAAAGAAAATGGCTATGCAAAATCTGACATGTCACAGACACTCTCATAAAAAAAAGTAAATCATTAGTTTTTCTCAAGATTGATACTTATTTTTTTTATTTGAATTTTTATGAATAGACTACCTACGTATTTTGATATATTTAAATCCAAACTTGCGGTTGAGGCTTGGGCTAATTAAGAAAAGAAATCGCCTTAAAGGTTCTTGTATGAATAATACATATCTTTTGTTTTGTTCCCAAACCTCGGGTCTAACTAGGTGACCACATCAACAGCTTTCCTATAAGAAAATGTTTGGACAAATCAATATTTATTAGGTATTGTAAACAAGGTGTCAAATTGCATATTGCTCCACAAACCCGGTTTGGGGCAGGAGGGGGCGGGGGAGGGTGGGGTGAGAGGGGGCTGCTCTCTTATTTGGCCCCAACGGGAATGTGCTGCTGCACAGGGTATGATTTTCAGGGTCTTGGGTCTGAAACAGGGTATACAATTTTTCTATTTAATGTCTTGAAATGAGTGTCTGTTTGGACCAAAAGCTTTTAAAAGAGTGGGAAGGCTGACAATGAGCAATGAGCAGTCCCTCTTATTTAGCCCAGTGGGAATGTGCTGCTGCACAGGGTGTGATTTTCAGCCCAGGGATACAATTTCACTTTCTGACATCTTGAAATGGGTGGGTTTTTTTGCACCGGGAGTGATCCAAAAGGTTGACAATGAGCGGTCTACATGTGTGTACCATCAATTTTCACAAAAAATTTTAATACATGATGTAAGTTTGAAATGTTTTCTATAAAATGTTGTTTGCAAAAAAAAATATATCAGGGTCATAAAATATGGTCCTCTCTTTAAAAGGGTAGCAAAAAGAACTATTTTTGTCAGGGTCAGGGTATAGAGACCTCAGTTGCTCAACTCTACCCAAACCCCTTGAGTGCCTTCCTCTGTCTGCCAATAAGATACGCGGGGAGATAAAAGTGATAATATCATGCATACTGTAAATGATCGATTAAGCGCCACCAGGCTTATTTCATTTTCCCTGTTAAAGGTGCAGCACTTACTGGAGAGCTGCGCTACTCGTAAAACACTGAGGGGAATATAGAGAGAATTAAGTGAGGTGCGTACTAGGTATGCAATATTTAATACAAAATTATTTTGAATGAAATACAAGAGGTATCATGAATGCAGGCTCTCAGTCTCTGTGAAAATACTTCTGCTCAAATACAACTGCGAAGCTTATTCAAGAGTGGCGCTTATTAATATTTTTGGTAGGGGTGTGGTGCTTATCGAGATCGAGTAGCGGTTCTTAATCGATCATTTATGATAACAAAATTAATGTTGTGTAAAGTCACAAAAATGTCAAGGCAACATTTTGTATTTTATATCCCAGTGACAGGGAGGCATCAATGTTACTTATATTGTAGTTGTCAAGGGCTGCCATCAAAAGGGGATTTGTCCATTTTCTGGCAGCAGATAACTAAATAAACAAAATATAACTGTTTCCTTGTAGATAATGAGAAGACAGGTAGTGAGAACAATTAATCATAGCTATGAAATATTACGGAAATTACCACCCCATATGACATTTATTTTATCCTAAAAGAGAGCATATGCATGATTTTATTGTACTCCATTTACCACCTTATTTGTAAACAGAGAATATTTTTTTATTTGCTTGTAGCCAAGAAAACATTTAAATAATATCTTTTTGTGTTTGTTCAATATTATTTTTGAGGTATTTGTCTTATATTCCCTGTTAGAAGAGGTGGCGCTTCTGATCTGATCTGCTGGATTCCAGTATCATAGAATTTAAGAGCTTCAATGATATATTATGTTGGGTAGCATATGTTTATAAAAGCAATTATTGTTTTGAAAGGTTTCTAAATCCTTTGTTCTAGTGATTTAATTTGAGTAAAATCTGAATTTGGTAATTTTCCATAAATGCTGCTTTGGGACTAGTCTAGATAGGAGACAACTGATACGTCATGTACATCTTAATGATTCTAAGTGTTTGAGCCACGTTGACAGACAAGCTGTTCTGTTCCCTCTTGAAAGTTTTTCAACCTTGTTGACAGGCGATGCTTTTTGATAGCAATACTGTGAATTAAAAAAGAAAGCTTAGATTGCAAGAAAATAGCCTCCTAAGCAGTTGTTCATTGTCCCTAACATTACTAAAAACAAGTTTGAAATGCAGCACCCTTTAGCTTCGAGATCAGAGCATCACTAAAAGTCAAGTTTCTCTAGTCTTGTTTAGTTAACTAGAAGCTGGCCAATATGTTTTGTGATCTAAAACAGCTTTCTCTGGTGACAGTCCATCAAGCCGGTTCTTTAGATTCAGATAATCATTACAATCAATTTCAGCAAATGATTTGCTGTCTAACAATGGTAATGTAACTGGTGAGCTTTCAACAATAGTTTTCTGTTCATTACTTAGGATTTTGCTGTTATCAGCAAAAATTTCAATCTTGCGACTGTTCATGTTTTGCAAAGACTCTTTTCTTGCTTTGGAGTACTTCCTTTTTACCTGTGAAGATAATGACGACAGTTTTTCTCTCTTATTGTCTGCTCGACGCTCTTGCCTGATCTCTTGTACTCTCTTTATGATGCTAAACTTACTTTGAGCATCTAAAGATGGAAGTGAAGGTAAATGACCCCGTATTTTTTTTCCCGGAAATTCAGCACTACTGTCATTTTTGTCTTGATCATGCCCACCTTCAAGAATTGCTGGTAAAGAAACCCTCTTCTCGGAAGCTTCCACCGAACTCAACTTGCTACCACTGGAGAAAAGTCCAGAAAATAGTCCATCAATACTAGCATTGTCAAAGCTAGAGTAGTCATTCATTCCACTGGAATCAGCATTCTGTTCAAAGCTGTATGAATTACTGCTGTGATCAAAGTTAAAGCTTGAGGTGTGTGCCTTATCGCTCTCTGGTAATTGTGTCATATTAGCATCTGATGTTTTATCATGTTTGATTTTCTTGACTTTACAATGTTTTTCAGTGGAAGTCGTATTTTCTAGATCATCCTTGCATTTCTTCAACGGCTTCGTAGCTCTCTTTTTCAATTCTCTTTCTCTTATCTTGCACACAGTTTCATGGCACTTCTCTACTCGTATTTTCTCTGCAAACTCATAAGCACTGTCTGAATCTTGTAAAATGTTTTTAGTAACTTTTAAGATCCTCATTGTATTCCTCAGAGTCTGTTGTACCTCTACATTCTGCAAGAGCTCCACACGGTTCAGCCTCTCAAGCCATTTACTGCGGTAGTTGGATTTTAATGCCTTGTGACCCTGTGTCACTGACCCAAGACTGGACGCCCATGACCTTACAAGATAGTTAGGGTATTTGCCTCCACTCGAGAATTTTTGAAGCTCTGGGGTTGATGGAATGTCCCTCATGATTTAAATGTACAGTTAAAAGCACTGGACAGTATACTCTGAAGCGTTCTTTCTTGTTATAGAACTCATGATCACCTGTAGCTTTTGCATGATGTGTCCATGATAGGACTGTAAACAAAGTGTCTGGCAGTGAAAATGCTTTGAAATTATTGTACATACAGTGTATCTTGTCCTTTCTTTTCTTAGTTGTTAAGAGATTTCTTGACTTGATATTGCAAGCTAATAAGCATAGCAATTAAGAATTGTCCTGTACAGTAATATTATTGTAAGTTCAGATTCTGAATTTTTTCATCATTCAACTTTCAAGTGGTTTTTGTGACATCCTGTTTGCCAAAATTAAATACACTCAATAGTAATATCTGAGTCAACAAAGCCAGATACCAAGGTGACTTTATAATCAACATCCTAATTATTCATAATCAGCCACATAGTTTGATTCTCTGGGGATATGTATTGTATAGATAATGTAAAGGGAACCTGATAAAGGGATTAAGATCATTGTCCTGTTGTATTTACAGTTAGCACATTAAAAAATAAATTTTTGAAGCAGAATCACCCTTTGTACTTTTTTTATCAAATATTATTTTGTTTGTTGGTTGACAAACAGAAGTGAGAAATAGGAAGAAAAACGGTTAACGTATTTGTTTGTCGTATTTTCAAGTAGGTTCACATCAAAGACAATGAAGTTAATAATGTCCTAAGTAAATAGCTTTTTCAAGGTCATTAATAGTTTTATTTTAATTGTATTTTTTTTTGCAAAAACCAGCGTCATTTAAGTCACTGGTCAGTGGTCTATTACAAATCAACTAGTTGTATATGTAGATTTTCACTTACAGATCAAAGGTGCAATACATACTTTATTTGTCATGTAGGTCAATAAAATAGGCAGCTAGATAGCTGACGTTGATTCAATTTATTAATGAACCTAATTCTTGAAAAGGGAAAGCTTCTGTTATTTAATTAGTTTCTGCATCAGTGAGCAATTCTTGCACGTAAATGAGAGTATTATGCAGCTTAACCAACAAAATATTGAAATGCTCCTTATACCTGTTAAGTATAGTAAAACTTTTGGACAAAATAATTAACATTTGATTTTATGGCTTGCGTTCTTCAGATCTGTCAATCTCATTAGGTTGTGCAGGGCTTTAAAAAAGTCCTATCCAGCAGTCTGGGACAAGAAGTAGATTTTCTTTCCGGGCAAGTGACTTAAAGCCCCCTTGCCTTTTTAACAATAAATAATTGCCACAAAAATAAATGAATGCCACTTAAACAATAAATGATATATTACTGTGGAAAATGTTTTTACTATAATGAGGTTTTGTTATTTTTAGGGCCTTTTTCATATATTTTACTATTGCTGGGGTAAAGAAAATTGTTTGTTATACCAGCGGGGGGGGGCTTCGTTATATGCAGGTTTGTTATACAGTCAACTCTCTCTTAACGGACACCTCTATAAGACGGACACCTCTGTAAGACGGACACCTAGAGTTGCTCCCTCTATTTGACTCTCCATAAGGCAGACATCTCTCTAAGACGGACACTTAGTGCCGGTCCCAAAGGTGTCCGTCTTAGAGAGAGTTGACTGTAGTGAGGTTCTGCTGTATGTATTATTATAATTATTATTATAATCCTCTAAGTCTATGTTGAAGAAATGTGACAAAACTGTGAAATTATCTCTTGCAGCTAGACAAGCTTCTTGATTGCCAGAAGTCAGCTGGTGCATTAACTGTTCATGATGAACTGCTTTTCATCACTGTCCATCAAGGTGCAGTACTAAACTAGCTTATCTCTAGTTCAAATAATTGCTCTAGACATCAAAGAAATGGGGGAATTTTGAAGGTGCTGGCAAGTTAAAAAGCCAGCTTGACGGATGAAAAAAAAAAATGCCTGCTCAGCTTTAATAGCTATACGTCCCTGAATTAGAAATGACTTGAATGCATAATCACTTAGAGAACTTAGAAAAAAACTTGCCCTGTTGAACTAACTGTAAAACAGCCTAAGCCGTTTTTTTAAAAAAAGCATTATAAATCTAGTTTGTACAGTACCTCTGTTTCGCTGTTAAGCTGGTCCCTGAAAGAAATTTGTAGTGACAGTCTTTTCAGCTATACTGTACTGTGAGAATTCAAAATTTTACTCGCCTCCTGATAATTCAAACCATGCAATTTCCTTTTCCCTTTGTGGTTCAAAACCAGGATTCCACTATACACCTGATGCCACTGACAATTCTTACACCTGCCTTCGGGCAGTTATAATGAAATCTGCACAGGCCTACTACCTTTCAATGAAAAATTCTCTCAATGATGCTTTCTGATCCTGCTCTTTTTAGTGTCAAGTAACTGTATTTTTAAGGTTTATTGTCTCTTTGTTGTTGTCCCATCTAGCCTACGAATTATGGTTCAAGCAGATTCTTCATGAGTTGGACTCAATTCGAGAAATCTTTACCCTTGAGAAACTGGTAAGAAAATAATCCAATGGAGTACATTGGCAAAATGAAATCACTTCTTCAAAACTTATGAAAAAAATAAATAAATAAAGGAATTACTAATAAGGATAAGATAACAAAGAATTATATTTGTGCATAATTAATCAAATGTGGACAAAAACAGCAATCTTTATCTGTCTTAAAACATAACGATAAAAACTTGTTTTGTAAGTCTCAGTTGGTTGAAACTCAAAAGATCATGAATGAAGTAGCAATTAAAACAGGTTTTTGTTATATGAAGTCTTAACGTCTCCTTACGGACGCCTCTGTAATATGGACACCTCTCTATTATGGACAGATCGTTTGGTCCCAGAAATGCCAAAAATCATACATTCCCTACCTCTATAATACGGATACCTCTGTTAAGCAGACACTTGGTTCTGTCCCTTTGGTGTCCATATTAGAGAGGTTTGACTTTATCTTCAATATTTAAGAAAGCGAAGGGTTAGGGGATCCAGCTATTGAGTTTAGCCCCATATTTTAGAAGGGGGGGGGGGTGCTTTGCTATTTTGGCTGAGGGGGTGGGGAAATAAGAGCATGTGTGCTTTTGTCTGTAGCGTGCGTAGCAGGTGCTTGGAAGTGGTGGGCACAAGAAAACCGGGTGCGCGAGAAGGAGACACATGTGTCTCCCTCGCGCGCTTGGGTTCTCTTTTTCGCCCACTACTTGCAAGCACCTGCTACGCAGGCTATTTTGTTTGAAGAATACATACTCCATAAAATTATCATTTCATTCACCTATTTGATGACGATCCTTTTTTTCAGTGATCTAACAGGCGATGGTTTGTCACACAAGTAAAAACTAAAACTTGATAATTTGAGCCCATATTTCTTTACTAGTGCATGCAAACAGGAGCAAATTGTTTATTATTATTTTGTGGAAAAAAACTGACATGTTAGCTTTCAATGTTTTTCTGATAGGGTATGGATGAAAGGCAAATGCTTGTTTTATGTTCGAGACTTAACCGCATTGTACAGATTCTTAAAGTAAGTTGTTTTACTGGTATTTGTGTTGCTTGGTGGTATACATGCTTTGAACTGACAGTTTCGTTGTCTTGTTGTGAATGGTGCAGCCACAAAGTGATATAAAAGAAAAAGGTGAAATCCTGGAGGTGGCACTCGGCAAGGGTATCAAAGTTTAGTCGAAGGTTTGCCACCAAGGCTTTTCAGCCCTGACCGTTCTTTAGTAGCCTGCAAGCTAGCTCTCCTATTTGGGCGAGCGAAGCAAGCCTCGCGAGAACGCGCGAGCGAGGGGACTTCGCCGCGCGCTAATTAAGGGGACGACACTCGTTCATTTCATTACCCTGTGTAAGATAAGGAACCTTCTTTCATAATCCTGATACTTTTCGTTTTGCATACAAAATTAACTAATTTATCAAAACTAGCATCATGAAATAAATATTTTTGTGGAACAAAATTTGTTTTAAGTTCACACATGTGGATCGCTCATCAGCAAACTCCACACTCGTTTTTATAAAGGCTGATCCGGTCTAAAAAGACACCCTGGTCAAGAAGTTGTACAGCCTGTTTAAGACATAAGACCCTGAAAAGGGTATTCTGTTCAGCTGCACATACTCTATTTTTACTCGAAATCTTCAGTTTAAGAAAGAAATGAACTCATGGAACTTTAAACTTGCGAAATCTTCGGAAAGTCTTTGGAAATGTTTGCATATCTTTTGGATATGATCAGGCCCTCTCTGGTGCTGTGTGGATAAAAATTCCTTGCGTTACACCTGACTCCCCAAAAGTTTTCGGTATCATGTACTTTTTGGACCAGTTTTGATTATTTATAATACTATAGCCACTATTAAATTTTGTTGACATCATAGCTGCTGCGAGATCAAATCATGATTCTGGAAACAATGACCCCACTGGATTTTATGGATTTCAGGTTAGTTAGTAAATACCTAATTACTGGTCGCAAAACATGGATATAAGAAAACAAAACTATTTCTGAGAAAGTGTTATTTTAATGCTTGGTGGTTGACCAGGACAGAATATACGTCTAGTCTTAAGTAGTGATGTTAGAGGGAATTTACATACAAAGTTTTGTTTTTTATACGCAAAAACTGTCAACTTAACATGAACAATTAAACTGAAAAAAGTAGAGAAAGAGAAGGACCAAACTTTTTAGGCCTTAAAATTTTCGTAGCTTACCGTATTTATTCGAATAAGCGCCCAACCTCGAATTAGCGCCAACCTCGAATAAGCGCCCATTCTAAAGGCAGAAAAAGTTAATAAGCGCCCAGCCTCGAATAAGCGCCCACCCCCTCCTCCTCCCAATCAAACTCAAATAAGCGCTCACCCCACCCCACCCACTTAAGTGAATAAGTTCCAATAAGAGACTTCCCCGAGGACGGAGTTTTCTTCAGAGTATTTTGCAGAAACCTTGCTTTGTTACTTCTTCGCGTTTTGTTATTAGCATTTATTGTTTTGTTGCAAAATAAACATACTTCACTTGCTGAAGATGGTGAAAATTTAATAAGAGCCCAGCCTCGAATAAGCGCCCACCTCAAATAAGCGCCCACTCTCAAGGTCCAAAAATTTAATAAGCGCCCAGGGCGGTTAATCGAATAAATACGGTAGTCCTGGGATGTGCATTTATGCACCAACTTTGAATAACTTTGAATTACATTCCTGGTAGTTGGTCTTCGAAAATTCAATGCGGTGCTTGAAAATCCTTGAAAATTGGTCGCATTTTCTGTACAAACGTTGAAAAATTTAACGAGGCTTTTGTTCATCATTGCAGAGATAACCTGGCCCCAGCTTCTGGATTCCAAAGTCTTCAGTTCAGACTTATTGAGAATAAATTAGGGATTAATAAGGTATGAATCGAAAATATTCCGCACGTTATAATTTTCAAGCGACAAAATCAATCGCATATTTTATTCTGTAAAATTGTCATGGCGTTTGTTTTGTTTTCATTGCAGTCTCAAAGAACTCGCTACAATCGTCAAGATTACAGGTCAGCTGGAATCAAATTTGACATTTGATTGAGTAAATACAGTGTCAAAACCACCCTGAAAAAGGACCTTGAGAAACCACTCCCGCATGTCTCTGAGATTTCCTCCTTTTTCGACTCTCCCCCCTCCCCTCATGATAGTTTCGTTGCCCTCCCGTAGTTTTCCTTGGCGGTTATCGTTTTGTTTAGAAATTTTGCGATGATGTCGCTGAGTTTCTTATTATTTTCTGTAATTTACTTTTCTAGTAAAGCATTCAAATCGTGTGAGAGACAAAGCCTGGACCATTCGGAAAGTACAGCGTCATTGCTAGAGCTTGTCCAGGTATGTTTATGATGTCTACAAGCAGCAAAATATCCTATTTAGACTTAAAGGAAAATCTGAAACACCATAAACCGTCCGTGAGCAACTTCGACGTGCAGAAAAGTGGAACATTAATTTGTCAGTCAAAGGCAAATTTTTAAGTTGTTGTAGTGTTAGAGACCACATTCAAATTCAAAAAGCCCGCAAAAAAAGCTTTGTCGACGTGCGTTCAACTTATCCATTAAATGTCATGTGAGAAAATTCACTTTGTAGTTGTGCTGGCGAAAAAATGTACTAACAAGTGCTATACACGTGTAGAGTTGTTGTTTTGTTCATATATATATTTTTTAAAGTTTTGATACCTACTGAGTACAACCCGCTGAAAGCAGCTGAAAGCCATGAAAGCCATGTCGTGAACTTTCTTACGTAAATGAGTTCTAGCCAATCAGAGACGCGAACGGTATTTTCACATGTTAGGAAAATAGTTTGTCCAATCAGAAGCGTAAACGACGTCAGAAAAATCAGTCGTTCAGTTAGAATTCATAGCGTTGCACAAGTTTCGCGCCGAGTTTTCTTCCTTTAGGTGGTAGTGCTCTCGCTTCGCCAATTGCGGTCATGGACATGAATTGTCGTGTCTAAAAGTGTTTTCTTGTTTAAAAGTGACAAAAGTCAGAGTGATGGAATGGAATAGCTTTTTATATTTCATTGTCACAACAGAAGATGCAGAGAACCAGATAAAGTCAAAGTTGTTTGGCATACGTTCTAAACTTCCTTTTTCTATAGGGATGGTTGGAACGGACTCCTGGACTCGAGAAAGATGGATTTGACTTTTGGGGCAAATACAAACGAAGTGTCAAAGACATGCTGGATTCTATAAGGGAGGAGGCTGAGGTAGGACAGGTCTTGTTTAGAAACCTTTTCAAAAAAACGCCACACGAGACTACACACTAGGACAACACTAATATCTGTTAGCTTTGTCAGTATCACCACTACAACTATGTTCTGTGTGAGACTAATGTTTTTTAAGTTGTGATCACATTTCGTTTAACAGGTCGAAGAAAACGAAGAAGTTCGGGCGAATTTGTTAAAAGATGTCAAGAAACAACAGGTGAATATTTACCACTACCGAGGTAGTCAGCTTTGGATTCAGAATGGTAAACATTATACCCCCTCTAGTGCGTATGAAGTCAGGGCAAGGGAAGCGTGAATCTGTGAATGCTTGTTGGTGGAGTCACGTGCCCTTGTTGCATGTTGCACGAGATTCAAGCTCCACGATGTAGCATGTTTCAGTTATACTGCAGATATCTAAGACCCTATATCCACAATACTGCTGGTAAGGAAACGCAATTGTATGAAATGTAGCAAGTGCAAAACATGATGTGACAGTAAATTACGGTGAGGTGGTGCTCATAACTGTTTTCAGTGTCAGTTACAACCAAACTTTCAACTATTGCCTGCGTGGTTTTCCTTTCGTTGTAGCCAGTGTATTTCCGCTAGTGTATTTTCGTTTCATCAACCCGAAATACGTCTTTGTTCGCAGACTAGTTGGGGTATTGTTCGGCTATGTAGTGACTATTGGCCATTTTGAAGTCTTGCCAGAGATTGGGTCGGTGTTGTATCGAATTGCACCATGGGACTTACGGGACGCTATCCCTTCTTCCAGTGGCTGTTACGATGTTAAAAGTGCGAGGAAAAGTGGGTCCATATCCTGCCCCCTAATAGCCTGCGTAGCAGACGCTTGGAAGTAGTATGAAGTAGTGGCGCGCGAGAAGGAGACACCCCTTGCGTGTCTCCCTCGCGCGCGCCCGTTCTCTCTTTCGCCCGCTACTTCCAAGCGCCTGCTACGCAGGCTAGCCCCCTAAGCAATCCTATAGTGCAATTTGACATAACAGCGACATAGTCTCCCCCTCTTTCTCACACTGGCCAATCTCTTTTGAACTTGTTCATCACATGGGACAGGGGGAAATAAAAAAAAAAACAAAACAAAGAAAAACAACAACAGCAACAACAACAACAACAAAACATGTATTTAACTCTTATGCAACTCTGGAGCTTCCCATCGATTGAAAAGTAATGAGCCCTAGTGCTTGCAAAGTGATCAGAGAAAGAAGGTCTTTTTTCTGTTGACAGTGTACGTTTTATTATAATACTGTTTATTTTCAGGATACCTTTGACTCGATTTTCAATGAAGAGAGACATAACCAGCTTGTTGCTAGAGGTAATGTTGTGTGAATGGAATGCAGTAAAAAGCTGCACACCTCACAATCTATATGTTCCCAATTTTCTCCAATGCAAAACACCTGGTATTTTTTTGCGAGAGCAGTTAAGTAAAGGTGGTCAGAGCAGGATTTGTACCCACGGAGACCTAGTTGAATAAACACCACAGTGCCCCCTCCACTCCTACCCCATTCCTTTCGAACGCCTGCCACGCAGGCTCATTGATAAGGATCCTTTAATCCAGTGAATCCCAAAGCGAACACCAGTAAGCCAGCGCGAAGGAAGAGAAAACGCATTAAGAACTAGAAAACCTCACTTTAACATACAATCCTAACCTTCTCTTTGATTTTAAGGTGAAAGAAGGTTCTCTCACAAAGCTATGCAAGGAGCGTTGATGATCTATTTTTACCGGTAAGAAACTTCTGTTTGATTAACAGAAACAGGCTATAATTCAACGTTAAAAAAGCACCTCTCTCTGATGATGCTGCTTTGCTCTATACATTGCAGTGCTCTCGCTCCAGCCGAGAAACACAGGGAAAGTATCGTGTTGTTGCTGATCCAAGGACAACTGACTTTATATCCTGATGTACTTCCCCTTTTCGTTCGTGGCGTTGATGTCAAGCATTGCCGCACATTGGGCAATAAAAAGAGCCATAATGGTCCCATTTTGGCTCTTGGCAATGACTTCAAGCCGTTGACCATGTATACGTACAACAAACCCGCTCTAATGTATTAAAAAAGAACAGGGGGCGGGGTGTAGTCCACATTTTCTGGGTTACTTTAGAGGCACATCTTGAAGGGAGGCCCCGAGGGGCGGCGGGTTCCACCTTATTTTTTGGCCGAAACAAGCCCGAGGGGCCACAAAAATTATTTTTGAAGCCGGGTCCCTTCTTACTGAATAGGATCTGAACGATCGGGTCCCCCACTTACTTGGAGTCAATGTGCGTAGCGGAAGGTGCCTTACACTTAGCCTGCGAACGCGACGTATTTCCGGTTGTCGCTTCTCTTCAGGTGGAGCGACAACGGAAATGGGGCCCACAGTAATTGATCTTAACTGTTGTGGCTTCCGGAGAAAAATAACTCACATTTTTACCCTTGTGTCTGTTTTTCCACCAGTGACGAGCCGCGATGCCATCAGCCTTTTCAAATCCTTCAGTTACTCATGGATATCGACTCTCTGGTGATGAAGTGGCGGTGTAAGTATAGTCTACGATGATGCAAGTACACAGGAACAAATATCCCTCTAGTCATAGGTCCTCAAAGATCTGTAACAGCTCAGTAGACGAAGAGAAGAGAATATCTAGTAAATAATAGGGAGCTTAAGCAACAACGTTTTTGAGCGACGCACGTCAACCGGAAGTGGCCTTTTTTCATTTTTGACGGTGGTTTCGCGCAAATTTTCAGTCAAATCGCCTCTATAACAGTAAAGAAGCTAAATGAATACAAATTTTATATCATCAAGGCATGTTAAGAGGGAAAATACCTCACTTCCGGTTGACGTGCGTCGCTCAAAAACGTCGCTGCTTAAGCTCCCTATTATGCTGTCAGTGGTGTCTTCAAAAGTTCGAGCAAATTCAGGAGAAAGTAATGATTGTTTTCTTCAAATATTTAATAAATGCGTAGAACGAGTAAGACGATGTTGACAAACTGTCGCTCTGCATGTGATTGGTGTCCTCATTTAGCTTAGCCTCCCACGCAGACGTTCTTAGGGGTTCGTCACGCGTTCCTGGGTAACTAGGAACGCGTGACAACGTCTACTTTTAGCTATAAATATTCGCCCCACTGTTAAATCACCTGCATAACTCGTTGGTCATTTTCTCTGTTTGACAGACAACCATTTGATGATGGCGCAGCGAATGATTGGTTGTAAAATAGGAACTGGAGGTACATCTGGATATCAGTATCTCAGGTCCACGGTCAGGTGGGTCAACTAACAGGTTTTAGGTCATACAAAGAACAGTGCCCCTGATGAGTATGGCCCGGAAAGGCCCGGAGGCTACTGTCCATTATAAGATTGCGCAAAAAACTATGTCAGTGTTGTGTCCGAATTGCCTTATGGGACTGTCTAGGGACGCTATCTTTTCTTTCATTGGCTGTTTCAAAGTTTAGCGGGAACCTTTGTCAAAATTCTTTCCAGAAACTGTCCCAAAGTGCAATTCGACACAACACTGACCCAGTCTCAAGAGCAACCTGCAATGATGTCCAATATAGTTGGCCGTTGCACAGGACACCTATCATGGTAAATGAACGTTGTTTTCGCGGTGGCACGTGTACTCTAGCAGCCTTGCGTTTTCCGTTCAGATTAGGGACTTAAAGATCCAACGACGTGGACGACAACGAGAATGTCAAAAAAACAATTGGTTTAATTAGTAAAACAACAACTTCGCACATGCATCACACTTTTTTGTACATTTCTTTCCCGTTTTTGCACGACTACGACGTAAAAATGCCTAATTTCGCGTTTTATGGAGGACGTAAACAAGCAACGACGAAATTGCATTTCTCTTTCTGAGCTTGAATATGGTCCCTTGAAATTCAGCTTCAGGAGGGTTCGCCTATAATTGACAAAGTAAGTGGGTAGGAATAATCGCTATAAAGACTGAAAGAACGCAAATTCAGTTTTTAAGCGACGTTCTTGTCGCCGTTGCGTCGTTGGATCTTAAAGTCCCTATTAGTGTCGTCAGAAGACATTTCGTCCGATTTTGAACTTTACCATAGTATTACTTGGATTAGCATGGACAGCAAAGTTTTACTTGTTCGGCGTCTGAAATTTACCTGCAATAATGTGGACGGGGACTTCATATCGGTTTATTAAATTGCTATTTTACCTACACTTTTCTTTCTGTAGTGATAGGTATAAGGTGTTCGTCGACTTGTTTAACCTGTCCAACTACCTTATACCACGTGACCGTATTCCGCCACTCAGTTCGTCCATGAAGATGCGCCTGCGTACTGCGTTGGTGGATGGCCGACTGCGTGACAGTGACAGTGCACTGTGCAGCGATAGCAGTGAAGATGATCAAGAGTCAGCGGTTACCTCCAAGATCAAAGATGTTGCCATAACGACTGCAGCAACTGCTGACACCAACTGATCAAGAAAGAGTCCATTTTGATAAGTAGTTTAATGGGGAGAGGAACGAGGTTTTTATTTCAGACTATTTCCACTATAACAGTCCCTTCCATAGTTTATTTCAATATTTGATCTAGACCAGTTAGTGAATATGCATTTACACTGCTGGAAATAACGCCTTAAAATTTGCAAACTTACCAAGTTGAAACGTGATACCTTATAAGCGAGCGAAGATCTTGCTGCACAAAGTCGGCGCGAAATTTTCCTGACGTTTGTATGGTGGAGGAGGGGGGGCACAAATTTGCCCCCTTCTTACAAACGTGACTTTGCAGAGCTATATCATCGTCAAATCACGTTCAAACTTAGCATCTTTACTAATTGTGGGGGGAGGGGGTGCGTTTTAGACGTGTTGATGGATTTTCGCCAGTCAAAAGTTGAAAAAGCCGTGGAAGAGTCTATTTGATCATAACCTTTTGGTATTCAGTACCAAACAATTAACGGGATCAAACGTCAAAAACGTTTGCCCTTATGATTTTGTAACAGAAGAATTGCTTCATGGCTGGACTGGTAGATTTTTATGAAATTAACCATATTACTCTGCGGTCAAGTCGGGTCTAGTCGCGTTTTCTTCCCGACAACGTTAATTGAAATAGCTTTATACAGTTGGTTTGACTTCATTTCCCTTCTCTACAGGGTTTAAAAATGCAATGTTTGAATACCTTTTCTAGGATCTAAATTAGCACGAGAATACTTGTATAATACGTTAACTCGTTTTCATTACATATCTCTTTGACGTCAGCTGCAACGTTAACTAGTTAGGGAAGTAAAGATTGGAAATTTGATACTCTGATCTCTGCATAGGCGTACGGGCCGGGGGGACGAGGGGGGCGGCAGCCCCCCCAAATTTTGGGCAACTCAGATTTTTTGGGCAGCGAGAGAAAAATTTGGGCAAAATCAGTTTTTTAAGACGTTTCCGTTTTTTTTAAATCATTATTTTGAAGAGATAAATATTTTCTATTTTAACCTGAAGTTGGCGTAATAATCCAGTACTGCTACATTCACACGAGACAGTGGTTGCCTAGTACGTAATGAGTTTCTAGTTATGAGGGAAGGGTATCATGTGCTGATTTTTTTTATTGCTGGGCACTGTACTGCTGTGGGCTATTTCCAGTCGTGAATTGATTAGAATAAACTTCCGCCTAACTTTCTAGAATCATCTCCGCTCGTAGAACAGTGTATGGCAGATAGCATCAGCAATGGGTCTGAAAGTGAAGAAGTGGCTGACTAATTCTCAGTTTGAATTACCCCAAGAATCGTAATATTTTTTAAAAAAATCTATCGAGTGGTTTAAAAATTAAATTGTTCACTAATTTGTTAAAGTAGACCGAAATGTTTACAAAACCGCTTACAAGAGCGCCATGATACATACTAAATACTCAAATCCTTTTTTGGTCAGAGCTATCTCCATGATCTTGTACCCACGTTTTAAAAAGACTGAAACTACTATGAGGTGAAATTGCATCGTTTTCTACAGATAAGGGCCAAACATCAAGATTTTCCTTTTTTACCGTATTTCTAACGATAAAAACTTTGTCCGAAAATACCTCCGCAACCCTCTTCCGGATTCCGTTTTAACTTCACGAACATCGAGGCGACTATTGGAGGAAAATGCTCACGTGAACGATTTGGAAGAACAGTTCCCAGTGAGGAATGTTGCTGCAAGTATAATTGGTAATGGCGTCATTTGGTTGCTATGACAACTCCGATGTTATTGCAACCATGATCATGACAAATTTTCATCTTTATCTAATACAACTGTGGTGGCAATGTTTATGGTGTCGTAGTCTATGCTCAAAAAAAAATTCACAGGTATTGACCCTGAAAACCAGTATCGAGCCACTTTCATATGCTAGTACGGCCTATGTTGTTGCATTGTATGGCCCTCGTTTCTGTTCGACTGTTTTGTAAAAATCTGGGCAACTTGCAAGAATTTTTTGGGCAAATGGTTTACCGCCCCCCTGGCAAAAAATTGCCCGTACGCCTATGGATCTCTGGGAGAAACATAAAAGTTATGTACGCAATTTAAGCGGCTGCAAAAAGATAGCCTGGTTAGAAAATTCAGGCTAACCCACGACCTATATGTGAGGTCACTTTTCCAATAGCCCAAGATGTAATTTTCACCGAAGCATCTTCAAGTTTATGAATTCAATGCGGTTTCTGCCCTCGGATGATATCTTCGACTAAGTCGTTAAACGTCAATATTGGCCAAAACAGGGGCCCTTATAGGCTCCTGCTAAGAAGGATGAAAATTTCGAGTAAGTTCGACCGTTGATATATACCTGACCACAAAATCAAGTTGGAGCAACATTGCTCCAGTTAGCCTCCACGCAGACGTCCTGTGCGGTTTGTTCGTCACGCATTCACGCGAACAAACCCCACAGGACGTCTGCGGGGAGGCTATGCTCCAGTTAGCTGTAACGTGAATATTTTGCTAAACTTACAAACGAATACCCATAAACAACTTTATTATTAAAAACTTGTACCCTAATCTTGTATCGCTCTTCCATAGTTTAGAAGTATTATTTTTACCTGAGCGGAATAGGGAATAGTTTTCAGTGGAACAAAGGCTAGGGCGTAGCGTGGAACTTCATATGTGATGAATTTGATGCTACTGAATGAAAAAGCATTAGGTTGACCACATGAGAAGTTCGACTAAGACTTTGAAACTTAATCTTTTCAGTCCCAGAATCAGTCCAAAATTGACCAGACAAAAAGTTGCCAAATTTCTCATGGTACCTAACAGCAAATTAAAGTCGACTAAGATAATTACGAGTGCACCTTTTCCTGTTTTCTTACAATGAGGCTTGCCTTACTTCATAAAGAATTCTTAAGCAGAATGTATTGTGTGTGGATGGGGTACCGCCGGAAAACAGTAAAAACTGTCACTTACACGATAATATTGATCTTGCACATGTAATTTTTTGTCACTTAAGTAATATTTATATGCAATCAAGTTTAATATTTATATCTATCTACCAATAATGTTTGTATGCAATTTTTGTCGATTATTTTTATATAAATGTTAAATGCATCTTGTGTATCACAATTGTATTTTGAAAATAATTTTCCTAAGTCACTCTTAGTGAACTTAAGTGGTTGTTTGATATTGCTGGAGGGAATTTTCTAAGAAACTTATAAACTTGTTTTAAATGAAGAGTTATTTATCAATAGCACATTAAAAGTATCACGTCAACTTTTTTGCAGTATTTAAATTTTTGATTTTTACCCATTCAATGGAGTTTTGTATATAAAAGGAGATGTTTTGTTATCGTTGTTCTGTAAAAACTCAAAAGATACAACGTTTTTGAAATTCCGCCATTTTGTGACTAAAAATATCTCCGGAGTGGTTCCCTATGGAATAAGGCCTACATTTCAGGACTCATTCTCTCAACCTTATGATCTCTTGCCGTTTTTTTGGAATTTGATACATAAACGAAAATTCTTCTCAAACTGTTGAACCCTTTTCTTACAGGTGGGGTCGCTTTCGTTCCATATGAAACGATGCAGATAATTATGCATTTCTGAATCCATTTACCTTTCACCTTAAGCGATTATAAGCAGCAAATTGCTGCCTGAGTGGCAGGCATTAGTCAGGTTTTATTTTGTTAGTTTTGAAGAGTGCGCGAGGGGAACATGTGGAGGGTAGAGAACCGCTTCTCAGCTTGTGCACGTGCACGTCCTCAAAATTTTCCCCGTTCACCCACAAAAACCGGTTCAAGTTCAAGTTGAGTTATTAAGCAAGAATTAAAGCAATAAAAGTACAGTCTTCAACCACTTAGTACTAAAAAGACTATTAATCCAAAAGTTCTTGAATTGACAGAATGACTAATCACATTTTGTTGGTATACATGTGGAAAAATTATATTATCTGTGCATATCAAATGAAACCCTCATTAAAAAGAGTATCTATCTGTCTATCTAAACACCCACACATAAGAACAAGTGGATTAAGAAAATTAGGCAGAAAGTTGGCCAATATAGCACCCCCCCCCACACACACACATATATCCAAAAAAAACCAATTCAGCCTCATAAATAAAGCACATTGTTATATAAAAAGAAAAAGGATGCCACAATAAGAAAAATTATATGCAAGTTGTGATCCAAGCTGATCCCCACAAGTAAAGGAATAGAGAAAAACAAAAAGTATACACAGCTATTCTCTCTGATTACTTTATTTAAAGGCTGACTGGTACATTTTGAAGCGCTGCAGGCTAACAATTTTTGCGTGGGCTTCTGTCCCAATTCTAGACTTTCTCGACCAGCAGGAAAAGTTCACGACTTGTGTTACTACATTAACCCTAGCAGCAAAGGCAGCCTTCATTCATACAATTCTGACTTTGTTTATGGTGTTAAAAATACCTTTTGGTCAATTGGTTGACAGGATGCATGAAAATAGAGGCCTTCATGAATGCGAACCCCGCCTCCCCCCACCCGAGTAGGAAAGTGCACCTCTAGTGCATATTTTTGGCCTTACTGGTCAAGAATGGTCCCTTACCTGCTTAGCTAAAATTTAGGGAAAACACTGTCACGGCAGCATTGCGCGTGACACTGCGTGACATGACAGAAACTTACGTTGCGGTGGCCTGGGACCGAGCGGTCCCGGATGACCACGCTAGTTGAACGTTTCGGAACGCTTTTCGCTGTGTTAGTTTTTAAGTTGAACATTCTACGGTTAAAAGGAATCAAGGAACGGATTAAGGACTAAGGTTTATGTCAATAACGGAACAAGGACACAGATGTAAGTTTCAGAATTACTGCTTTACCTTATTGTATTGTAATTTCGTATCGCCCCGAGCTCGCCTTTGTAATGCTAGTTTTCTGTTTCTTCCTTAGTTTTTTTACCGCATCGCATCGCGTCGCATCGCATCAGTTAAGCCTATATTGCACTATCACGTTCACATCGCATTATCGTATCACCGAATCAAGACATTGTTCACAAGGAATCGTTTGCAAGGAAAATCAATGGTAGCGATTGACAGCGTGTACATGAATTTCTGTGGATTAAACTAAAGTTGTGTTTACATTGTACGCCTCATCGATTTGTAAGGTCCTGAGGCAGTTCTGCCGCCTCATTCGTAAAGAAAAATCTGTACATCGGCGTTCTGCGTGTTTCGAAGGAGTTATTTGCTTAATTTACGTTAACTTTGTTTGGATTTTACTGGATTTGTGAAAGAATTGCGACGGGTTGATTCGCTTCACGTATGGCCGAAACTAGTTCCCAGGATCACACGGACGACTTCAATGTTCCAGGCATCCTTGAGGATTTCGAAGAAGAAAACACAGACAGAAAATGGAAGAACCATTTCTGAGTCAATCTTCAAACACTGGCGAATTACCAGATTCTCTAGGCCCGCGGAGACGAAATTTGACAGAAAAGGGTCAAGAAGAAAAGCGCAACAGACTAAAACGGCAATACGCAAATGCTTTCCGATCTGTATCCAGAAAGAGAACTGAGATAACCCAGCTAATGGTTGATGTTAACAACTTGCACCTCGTAAAGGACGAAACAATGATCTTGAAGGATCTTATCGAACAGTACAGGGAAGCCTTTTCAGCTTACTATGAAGAGTTAACCCAGGAAAAGGATAAAGACCATGAACATGCCCATTATAAGGATAGGGTCGAAGATATGATGGCATATTTACACCCATTACACGCTTGGATATCACAGGCTGAGGCCCGCTTGATTGATCAGTTAGATGGAAGAAGTAGCAAAGGATCTGAACGATCGTCTAAGGCAAGTTCAAGGTTGTCTGCAAGAGACCGAGAGAGAGTCCGTCTAGCAGAGTTAAAGGCTGAAAGATTGATGCTTAAGCGGAAACAGGCTCTTCGTGCTGCGGGAGAAGAATTGGAACTTGAAATGGAAATAGCAAAGACCGAAGCAAGGGAGAAGACATTGAGTGAAATTGATAAGGAACACGAGGCTCCCCCACCTCCACTTGGCTCAAGTCCACCTTCAGTGGCTGCCTCCTTTACACCTATTGTGTTAAAGTCTGCAGCAAAATCGTCACCTGACAACGTTACTGTGAGTCGCAACCCACTTGGCTCCTCTGCCACCAAAGAGATGACACCAGCTATAAATACGGAGGCTAGCAGCTCCCCCAAGAATCCCAAGGCCGCAGATTTCATCCCTGGCTTGTTTGCAGATGGAATTTCATCGACACCGTTGACTGGTAACGGTC